TGCTGTACGCTCTTTTGTGTGCCCAAATTAGCAAGCGATGTTAAATTATGCAATGACGTACCCGGGGAAATTTCCACCAAAATTTGAATTATTAAGCTCATCCCATGCGCATAAAGCAAAAGACTCATTTGCGATTCACACAATCTTTCAAAGTGAATGGTATCCGGCGGCACCGCGTGCAAAGTTCCCCTCCATATTTCGAATTTTTTGGCCTATCGTCGAAATATCTACCCCCCTTCCCCACCCCCTTTTCTCCCTGACCACAAGTCACATCTCCCCTGTTTTCTCGTTTCTTGCTTCCTCCCTAAGCTATAGCCGCTTCCTTGCTTGCTTCCTCTCTCTCGCCGTCTCGCATCCTACCTCCGGGGTCGCCATGGTCTTCTTCAAAGACCTCTCTAGCGGTTCCTCCTCCGACAACGAATCCTTCACAACCTGAGTATGCCTCTCTTCTCTCTCTCTCGGACTATGACTTGGAATGAAGGATTTCTACCCGACGGTCGATTTGAGTCATTTCTTCCTCTTGTAGTTCCCTAGGACCATCAGTTGCAATGTATGGAGCGGGGTGGCTGAAGATTTGTCTGCTCATTGTCACCATCACTCTCCATGCGTGAAGCTATTTGCGTTTGAATCTGTGGACAGTGGGAGGAAGTTTCTGGCATGTGCGGAGAAAGTTAGATTGTTACAAATCATTTGTTAGATGTGATTCAGACACTGTCACAGTCCCAACCCATTCATACCACACCTTCAACCAAACGCATCCTAAGACAGTGTCACAGTTTGTACCTAGTATCTAAAAATGTTGCCATCTCATCAGCGATGCCATTAGAAAATTATTTGGCACCGCTTCAGCAGTTTATGCAGCCAACTTGTCCACACATGCGAGCAGCCAAATAGTAAAATACTAAATCTTTATGGCACGAAGGAACTGGGCATCAGAGCAACTAGGTGCTCCGGAGTTCAGGTCCTTGATTTTTCTCCGCTGCATCGGCTCGCCGGTGCAGGGAACTGGTGCAAGATGTAGCAACAGTTGTCTTTACATAGGTTTTGGCATACATAGTGGACGTCCTTAATGCTATTAGTTCTATGTTACTAAATTTGTGCATGTACACATCTGTTAGTATCAATTCATCCAAACATTGTTGATATGCTATTGCAGTTATATTTACCTTCCTCTTAAAATGTTCAATTTTTTATTTATAGTACATGAGTAAGAATTTGTAGCGTTGTTGTAGTTAATTATAGCTGTTGATGTTTCAGAATTTGCTTGTTGTCTCGGGTAGCAATTAATTCATTTGCACATTGATCTTTTTGAGAAGATATGTCATAGTTAACATGTTTCTTCAGTTTTTCAAAATAAGTATTGGTATTTTCTTTGTTGCTATAAACCCATTTTCCCTACAATTGTTACTGGTCTAGTTTTAAATATTATAGGATGAACGAAAGTGTTCTTACTTGGAGTGGGTTGATCAAGAGTGGCCACAGTCTTTGAAGATGTGCCTAGCAAAGCTCTAGAGCTTGTATGAGGAAGAGAACAGAGGTAGACTTAGAGAAAGTGTTGTCAACGCTGAAGAATATTTAAAGATGCGAGATAAAAAGAGGAAGGTGGAGAATAAGCTCAGATTTTTAAAATTAGACTTTGCTAAGATGGTGTTGGCGAAGGAGGAGGCACTTTTCCAGTTGGCCAGTGCAAAACAGGTTCTTACTGAACTAAAAGCAGAGGTGGATAAGACGAGCCTGGATGATCTCGATTAGGGAAATGAATATATTGTTCTTATGAAGTTGAACTAGCTATATGTTGTATTGTGTTGTTTTCAGGTAGCTATCGTACTGTGATGTTAAAATATATCTATGTGCATGATATGAAATTGGCAAACATCTGTTTTATATGAAACGTGAATTTGCATAATACTAGAATTATTAATTGTAAACTAATAAACCTGCTAAATGGGTCATGGAACTTTGCAAACGGTTGTAGCACTAAAAGTGCTTGTAATGGATAGCCCAATGCCACACAATTTTCTTCATCAAATCGTGTGTGATGTAGTTGATAAAAGCAAACGGTTAAACAAGACAGAGCGTGTGTGATAGTTACACTTGTCACACACGAGCCTATACATAAACCTGTGTGGGATGTACATATGAACGGAAACGTTTTTCCTGAATTGACTGTGTGGGATGTACATACGAACGAAAACGATTTTCCTGGATTGAATGTGTGGGATGTACATACGAACGGAAACGTTTTCCCTGAATTGATTGTGTGAGATGTACATAACAACGAAAACATATTCCTTGGATTGACTGTGTGTGATGTACATACGAACGGAAATGTTTTTCTGGGATTCACCGTGTGGGATGTACATACGAACGGAACGATTGGGTTTTGATGCCTCGCCCGATCACACACGAGCTCATTTTGCCCTAGCCTGTGTGCCAGGAGGGCCTATCCCCAACAGTTTCTAGGTCATGTGGGAAGGACACCCTATCGCCCACACTCACTTGGCGACGGTTTCAAATGACGTCGCGGAAAGGGGTTAAAAATCGTGCGTGTAGTACCTCGTTGTACCAGTGAGGCAGTCCACACGGGCCATGTGTGGACGAACATTAGAACTGTCCACACGTGTGGCCGCAGCTACTTCGTGTCACACGCCCAACAAGTACTACTTACCCCACCCCACGCGTGTGGCACGAAGCAAAAATGCCCACACGTCCTGGCGCAACTACGTTAGTTACCCATGGGATGACGCTTTAGTTGCCATCCGAGATGGCAAATGTAGTTGTAAAAGCATGACAACTCTCTCTATTTTGATTAATTATAGTTGTCATGTCTAATTTATGGTAATTGTCGCGTGCAATCAAGCCATAGTTGTCATGTGTGTGCATGTGGTCAAACAAATAGTTGTCATGTGTGTTCACCTAATTGTCACGTGTGATCCAACCATAGTTGCCATGTATGATTAATCGTAGTTGTCATGCGTGTTTATCTGGTTGTCACGTGCGCATAACTCCAGTTGTCAGCAACTCCAGTTGTCATCCATCAACGAATCATAGCTGTCATGTGTGTTTACCTAGTTGCCGCATACACGCAACTGCAATTATCATCTATCATCGTACAAGCGTCGTGTGGGTGAAGAGTAGTTCACCCACACGCGCATGGACTGGTTGGTGACTATGTGGATGGAAACTGGTTCGCCCACACGGCGCAGTTGGTAACCTCGCGCTGTGAGTCGTGTGCGCGAGCGCTCTAACGCCCACACAATACGCTATGCCTATGTGGCACTCAGACGTGCAAAACAGAATCAAGGTGGATCAAGGCGTGTGGGCGATGTGCAAATATGCCACAAGTGCGGGCGTTATCATTTGGATATAAAAAAGCATGATTTTATTTGGTCTTACTACAGTATCTATAGTTATGACAAAACGGCGAGGAGTTCTACCGTGGCTTCCGTAAGAATTTTGAGGCACATGGACTTGGATGTAATACCACATTTGTGTAGGGTCGTTTTCATGCACGTGGTTCAGTTACCTCGTGTGGTTGTACTGTATATGCTCTCTTGATCTGATATATTTAAACCGAGCAGCAAGCCTGGTTAGCCATCTCATACCTTGAAATTGATATATTTAAAATATTTTTTCTACTAATTAACCTTTTAAGTTTTTTTCCCTGTTTTGACTCCTTGGACCCATGTTTTAGTTTTGACTGTTCATGCGAGTTTTCTCAGTTCGGCTCGCTCTACTCAATGGGGTAATTGTTGTCACAAATGTGAAACTAGAAGGTAAAAAATGGAATTCACTCTTCTTGAAAAAGGGAAGACTGGAAAAGAGGGGCTATAAGCCTTGAAGTTACAAAAACCAGTCAACAACTGCACAATCCACGGCCAGCGATACCAATCATAAACATGGATTTTCTAAGGGCAGCGTGAGGTGGGAACCACTTCCACCCCGTGTTTAAGGGAACAAACAACACACTTGAAGGGCCCCGTGGGAGAACCGGTAGCAGCAGAAAGGGAGTTGTAGGCCATCATGACACCAGACCAAAGGCTCGTGTCCCCCTCCAACTCAACTGTATCCAAACTTTAGAGCCAAAAAACACATGACATGACGCTTCAAAAAATGGAAAAACCGGGAGACAAGGAGCACGACTCACTCGAGTAGACTGGAATATGTTAAGATGCGCCGAAAGCTTGACTGGTAGAATTAGATACAGGTCTAGCTTCACTGAATTTTTGTTATCAGGCAGCTCTCCACATGTCAAGGTTTTATCCTCCTAAGAAGAAAGTCGGAAGTTTCTGTGGAATCTCGCGCGCGCATGCTCTCCACATTCGAGGTTTTATCCACCTGAATAAAGTCGGAAGTTTCCGTGGAATCGCGCGCGCGCATTGTTATGCATAGCAAAATGGAAAGAAATTCTTCTCTCCGTGCTTCGTAAGCCGGTTCAATCCATGTCTTCAACAATGACTTCAGGACCTGAAATCTTTAAGAACAAACCTAAGTGTTACGTAGATCATGCAACCAATGCGACAGAAATAAAACCTAGAACCATCAAGTCAGCACCCAATGTGACGGAACGATTATAGTTTCCGTATAGAAGGTTTCAGGTTTCCTGCCCCATTGCAGTACAGGTGTACGCTTAAAACAATTCAGTCATTCATGAAAGATGTAATGCAACTATCATTGGGCCATCTGACCAGATCTCCAACTTTAGTTTCCTTGACCCTTCTTAAATGATAAAAAGAGGAAACAATGACCCAAAAAACATGTCCCTATGATGTGCTCCCTGCATTAAAATTATTAGGAGGCTCACAGGAAAATTGTGCTGTCTAGTTGCACCCTTTCTAGCTAATCTTGTGGTGGCCACCACCATCATGGTCTGTAGTGCTCACTTGCACCTTCCCATGGCTTATAATAGGCTATAAGTGTATTGTAGATTGTGCTTGAGCTTGAGCTGAGTTAAAGACTGTTCTCATTGGTCTTAGTGCCTAAAGAGCTTGGACTGAGTAATGGGTAATGAGATGGGCAACAACAACGTTATCGGTCAACAAGGTATGCATGTTGCTAAATACTGTCTGCTTTCTAGGAATGAGCCTAAATATTTTGCTAACCACCTTCTTATGCAATTCTACTATCAGAGGAGAGTGCTAAGGATTTCGACAAAACCATGGCCAACGCAGATTATTCACATGAGCTCAACAACATAAATAGTGAGAAAGGTACTACCTCTGTTTCACGATATTTGTCCTGTATGGATATTTAGCAGGCATAAATTTAACGAATATTTGATGGAATCATGTCATACTGGCTCTTACTAAAAACTCACCACTATAAAGCTATGGTCGCTGATTCATTGTTCTGTTTATGTTAGATACGGAGAAGGATGGCACTAAGGATGTAGATATGCTGGAGGTATTAAAGGCCCCCTTCATCTCTAGTAGTGGAGATAAGAAAATGGCTTCAGATCAAACAAAATTGTCCGCTGCAAATGAAAGCTTAGATGAGAAGAATAGGGTCTCACCTCTGGATCACACATCAACAGAAGATGATGATGGGAATAAAAACTTACCTACAGAACAAGGTTAGTTCAGCCGACTGATATCGTACATACTATAATTTTATTTTTGTACTGTAATGCGTATTATGTGAATCATGGTTTAATACGAAAAGTTTGGACATGGTGATCCCGTATGAGGTACTAAGAAAATTCTAGAGATTTAATAGGCAAAATTTCTATACAAGTTAACTTCTAGTTAGAATTCAGTGCAATGTAATCTGGAGTTCAGTAACCACTCTAATGCGATTATCGACCATTCATTATTCTGTTTATGTTAGATAAGGAGAAGGATGGCACTAAGCATGTAGATATGTCAGAGGTGTTAAAGGCCCCTGTCATTTTTAATGGTGGAGATGATCAAATGGCTTCAGATCAAAGAAAAATCTCTGCTGCAAATGAAGACATCGATGAGAAGAACAGGGGCTCACTTGAGGATCATACATCAACACAGGATGATGATGGAAACAGTAACTTACCTACAGAACAAGGTTAGTTCAGCTGGCTTATACGGTCCGTACCTAGTTTGTTTTGCTGTCTTCCGTACAGTAGTTCCAATTTTGTGCTTTAAGCTTTTGTGCACTGGGTCTGTCCTTTAATAAGCCATTTAAACTGGTTTAGCATGAGAAATACGCGTGCTTGAGAAAATTAATGGTGATTTCAGGATGAGGTAGTAAGAAAAATCCACAGTTCAAAACTACCTAGCCGCCCACCAAATGTTTTTTCGAAAAGAGGGGAAAATCCTCTGGCTCTGCATCGAGCGATGCACGGCTACCCACCTAGAAGTACATTATGTTTCTATGAATAACTATACTTGAACTTCAGAATGTATAATTGTCCACTAGAAACATAGGCAGTTAAGCATTTCTCAGCAGTAATTGCTTTTACCTTCAGCACTATAAGCTCGACTAATAAAAGCAACTAATCTGGCACAGGTGATGAAACACAGGAGGACAATGGAACTGAAACAGCCACAAATTCTGCAGAAACAGTTGCCCATGTCGGCACCACAACTGAAGATATAACAAGCAACAAGGATACTTCATCATCTGATGAGCAATTCAGACAACTTGAGCACGAAACTACAGAGAAAAATGAAGAAAATACCACTGCAAATCCCGCCATGTTGTTAGAGGAAAACATTGAAGGTCTGCCAGAACACAAGGAGGAATCTTGTACTCAAGAAGTTGCAGGGGCGAGTGATAATGTAGTTGGAGGAGATACAGTTGAAAACCTAGAAGGACAAAACGGAGTGTCAACAGTGGTGGGTGATAATCTAGTTGGAGAGACTACATCATCAACTGAATCAATTATCAGTGGTTATCTTGATGACGAGAGTAAGGAGGTTGTCGTCGACGATGAGCCTAGAGAAAGAGAAAATTCGTCATATGTAGGACCAGAAGGCGACACCAACCAAGAAACATTCCAGAATGAAGAGAAGCAAGAAATCTGTGAGATAGGCAAAATCAATACCTGTAAAACTATAACAGAAGATACTGTGGTTGAAAGTGCTGAAGTGCTAGAAGAAGACAAGAAGATCCAAGGATTGGAAAATCAGGAGGAAGAATTCCCCAAATGTAGTAAATATGGTGCTCTTCATAATGTTGAAGCCGTTTCCCAATTTCAGTCAGCTTTAGCACACCCCAGTGCAGCAAGTGGCAAAGAATTTCAGAAACATGAACTGAGTATAGCAGAACGGATGTCGGATTCTGTAAGTGTAGCAATGGAGCACAATGTAATTAAAACAGCAGAGAAAGAGCAAGGGGGAATTGTTGAAAAGGATGTTGCAGACAAGAAAGAAGAAGATAATTTTGAAGGGGATCAGAAATCTGATGGTATGTCAGAGGTGTTAAAGGACCCTGTCATTTCTAACGGTGGAAATGATCAAATGGCTTCAGATCAAACAAAAACCTCTGTTGCAAATGAAGACTTAGATGAGAAGAACAGGGACTCACTTCAGGATCATACATCAACACAAGATGATGATGGAAATAGTAACCTACCTACAGAACAAGGTTAGTTCAGCTGGCTGATATGGCTCATACCTAGCTTGTTTTGCTGTCTTCGTACTATGTTTTATTTTGTGCTTTAATAAGCCATTTAAGAATGGTTTAATATGAGAAGAATGCGTGTTTGTGATAATAAATGGTGATTTCAGTATGAAATAGTAAGATAGGGATTCAAAAGTGAAAATTTGCTACTCCCTCCGTCCCATAATGTAAGACGCTTTTTGACACTAGTGTAGTGTCAAAAAACGTCTTACATTATGGGACGGAGGGAGTAGATGCTAGTGCTACCAAGCTACCCACCTAATAAAAGGTACGTTATGCTTCTATGAACAACTATACTTGAACTTCAGAATATATGATGGGCGACTAAAAATCATAGGTACTTAAGCATTGCTTTCCTTCAGCATTATAGACTCTCCTAATAAAAACAAGTGATCTGGCACAGGAGATGAATCACAAGAGGACAGTGGAACTGAAACAACCACAGATGGTACAGAAAAAGTTGCCCCTGTCGGCACCACAACTGAAGACATGACAAGTAGCAATGATACATCACCATCTGATGAGCAATTCAAACAAGTTGTACACAAAACGACGGAGACAAGTGAAGAAAGTACCATACCAAATCCCCTCACATTGTTAGAGGGAATTATTGAAAGTGCGCCACAAGATGGGGAGGAATATTGCAGTCAAGAAGCTGCAGTGGTGGATGATAATCTAGTTGGAGAAGATACAGTTGAAAGCCTAGAAGAAAGACAAGCTGGAGCGTCGGCAGTAGAGGATCTATGGACACCATCGTCGGTACAAGGAGAGGCTACATCATCAACTGAATCAATTATCACTGCTTATCATGATGATGACACCAACCAAGAAACATCCAAGAATGAAGAGAAGCAGGAAATCTGTGAAATGGCCAAAAGCAATAGCTGCAAAACCATAACAGTAGATGCTGTGATTGAAAATGATGAAGTGCTAGAAGAAGACAAGATCCAAGGATTAGAAAATCAGCAGGAAGAATTTCCCAAATGTAGTGCATATGGTGCTCTCCACATTGTTGAAGCTGTTTCCCAATTTCAGTCAGCTTTAGCAGATCCCAGTGCAACAAATGGCAAAGAATTTCAGAAACATGAACTGAGTATAGCAGAACAGATGTCAGATTCTGTAAATGCAGCAATGGAGCACAATGTAATTGAAACAGCAGAGAAAGAGCAAGGGGGAATTGTTGACAAAGATGTCGCAGACAATAATGAACCAGATAATTTTGAAGGGGATAAGAAATCTGATGGTATCCAAGACTCTGTCGGCCTTGTTATGGTCCATGGAGAAGATTTTACAGGTTTAGACCCGCTATTATCTGGCCCTCTTCCTATTTTGAATAAAGAAAAGGTACATGAAGAAGTCATCATAGAAGAATTACCTGCACCAATAACTGCAACATCATTTGCTCTTCAACCAGTAGAAGATTTTGTCAAGAAAGATATTAAACCTGATAGCTCAGACAGTAATGAAGGAACCACCACCTCCACATATGAAGCAAAGACTATAGATACACAAGAAACCATGAACAGCTCACAGTGTGATCAGCCTCAACAGTTACTGCTTGAAGAACCTGAAGTTGTCAAGTTTGAAAACAGTGAGACTCTGAGCACCTGCATGAAGCTGGTGGAATGCAGTTCAGCGACAGAATTGATCTTCCCTAATGTATTCAACAAGGAGAGACAAGGCACATCTGATAAAGCCACATGTTTTACTTCTGAATCCAATCAGGAGAAAGTCACAGGGACTGTAGGCTTTGCTGCTGAATCGGAACAGAAGAAAGTTATTGCAAATGCTGATGATTCTAGTGAGGAAAAGTGTCTGCTTCAGAAACCAACTCTAGGGGCAGATGTGGGTGAAGAGACTCCATTACTTCTGAGTACAGAAAGCATCAACTCTTCAAGTTATTCTAGTGAACAGCACAGCAAAGTAGTCAAGGACATCCCCATGACCAACATCACCCTGATGCAAGCCAAAGATGAAGCTGTGGAAGAATCTGAGAAAAGTCCACTGTTGAGCCCTAGGGAGCCATCAGAAGGAGCCTTCAGAGCGCCAAATCACTCTGCAAGAAACAATAAACCACTTCGTAGCTTAATGACGGAGGACGGCATTGGAACGTGGTCGCCATTGAAGGAACAAGAACCGGTTCGAAAGAACAGCACCACGGTTAGTTCTCCTAGAAGCAAAGAAAAGCAGAAGCCAAAGTCATCCCTTTTTGCCATTTGCATGTGCTGCACCACAGCTACGAACTGATGTGTGGCTTCATTTGTTGTTTCCCTTAATGCCTGGTTGATTTTCTTTTTGCTGGAAATATTTTAGATACCACAACTTGTATTGATCAGAATTTTTTTAAATTGCATCTTACTCTTTTTGTTCCATCAATGTATCTGGTTTGGAGAATGAATGCCTTCAATAATACAAGTGTCTGTAAAGGGTTGTCGAGTTACAAACATCCTCTATATACGACAAGATATATAGCATTCCGACATTAAATATCTCCACTGCTGTTGTTCTATGCCCAAAACAGACAAATATCCATAAGATGCGAGCATGACATGCCAAAAACTTCCGATTATCAAAAGCAGGTTGAGTAATCAAATTTTCACATAATCATATTACACTGGTTTATTTTAGTACGTTCTCTCTTAAGAAAGGACAGAAACAACAGAACTAGCCCTTTCAAAAGGATTACTGAACTAAATTTTCAACATGAGAAGCAAAAGCCAACGTCAATGTAGTCGGCACAGTGATAAAGTTAGCCACTGAAAGTAGTTTCACAAGACCATCTTATTCTAAAGCATTTCCACTAAAGTTGAACATGGGAATTCCCAAAACATGTTGTTTATGCTCACCAAAGAGTCCTACCCTAAATGCCAATGCAGATATTATCTAACTTATTATTGACAATTCTGCTTCAAACAGTTATTGCTCGAATTCACACATTTAACAAGTTAAGGGTTCATATTTAAGCTAGAGAAAGAAAATTAGTACTGCTCACGAGGTGATGTGACAAAGGTCGGCGTACTGGAGAAGATGCAAATAATGGTCAATTATATGATATCTACTGTCAGTAATACACATTAGGTATACATAGACTTGTTGCCAGACAGTGCAAATATCAGACGAACAATATGTACTGTTTAGAGCAATTCCAGATTTCTAACTAGTAAATCGCAGTAAATTTTGCAGAAAATAATCGCAGACATACCACGCACTCCATTTCTCCAACCGAGACAAGCCATTGATGGTTACCTTACCTCTGCCAGTGAAAAGTGTTGGTGGCATATGAAGACTGCAACGAAATTCCATCCATCCGGATTAACTCGAGCAGAGAAAGAGTGCGGGATGACTCGAGTAGACTGCCCCCTCCCTCGAGTCGCCGTCGTCGACCCATCCAGGCCGGGCCGCCGGCCGCCGGCCACTTCCTTCTCTGCCCCAGCCCCCAGCCACGGTGGGTACGGTGTCATGAATACTCGTCCTCCTCCCGTTGACCGACGCCACCAGTGTCTTCTGGATCACACATCCACCCGCCTCTCCGCAAGCCGCGCACGCCGCGTCCTTGTGGCCGGTAACTGAACGACCTTCCACAGTTCCACTTCGCGTCGCAGCGCCCCCTCACAGGGCGGCGCCTTCCCACGATTGATCTCTCCATCGACGTCAAACACTATCAGGTAACAAAGAAAAAAATGGAACAACCAAATGGGTGTGCTGCTTTGAGATTTGTGATGTTATAGGTAGGATTATGTCTACTGAAATCTGGCGATGGTATATTCTTTCAAAAAAATTAGGGTATATAGGATGGAAAGAATTTCATATAATTTTTCTCTGAAAAATAATTCATATGAAATTTAGAGGATTCTAATCTGTAGGTGACATTTGGATTGTATGTTTTCTTGTCCCTATGTTTTCAATTTCATACAATTGAAAGAAGCCTATAATTTAGACTTTTGTGTGACACTCCCAGAACACATTTTAACGCTTGGCTTATGACCACATATCGATAAAGTGCAATGTATTTACGTGGTAGTCGGCAAAAGTCGGCTTCTTCACCTTTGCAAATAAGAAAGCAAAGTATGCACCAACTAGGCACTGCATCAACGAAAAATCATACCGAAAACAGTTAGAGAGATGAAGGTAAACATTTTCCAAAATTCAAGAAAAAAGATCTTTTGCTGAATTTACAAGCCTATAACAAGGCAACCGCCCCACAAGCAAAATGTGAGATAGCAGTGGTCGAGAATACCCTCAGACTACCCACAGTGGAAGTAACATACTAGGTAGTAACATCACATATATCTAGATAAAATAGATGATGTGGCAAGCAATAAATAAAGAAAGAGAGGCATGTGGTAACATAGCTAGTTACTACTAGTATGAGTAACATCACACATATCAAGGCAAGATGAGTTATAGCCTAATAAATGAAGTGTTGCATGTTATCACACATATGTTACTCCCCACTATATGGGTAGTAACATAGAGTAGTAACATGCCCATGTTACTACTCTATGTTACTACCCATTGTGGCTAGTCATGGGCTCAGGTTGGTCATAGTGGGAGTAACATAGGTAGTAACATAAATGCCATGTAAGCGAAAATGATGATGTGTCAAGTAGTTAATGAGGGAAGAGGTAAATAAAGTAACAAAATATGTTCACATAGCGCTTGCTAATGTAAAATGAGTCTACAAAATAATAAATGAAGGCATATATATTACCACACCTATGACACTACCCATTATAAAGGTAGTAACATAGACTAGTAACATATGCATGTTACTAGTATATAAGTTACTCTCCACTATGACTAGCCTCATGGTGCTTTTCCTCTTTCCTTGTTTTTTGTTATGTCTAGTAGACTTTTAGTTTTTATATGAACACTATCTCAGGTGCAAGAGTCGTGGTACTTCCACGAGTGAAGTTTGGAACGAATATCACAATGGTCAACCCCATTAAACTATGTGTGAATCCATTAGTCAATAGTGACATGTACTCAGTTTCTGAATTTGTTGGGTTCAATTGGTTCAATTGAACCCGATAACTGTATGTGACTTTGTGTTAGCATTGTTCTAGGCATTTTCTACGGCTATCCAAATTCATGAGATTATGACAACACCCCTTTTGCGGTGATATTGTGACACAAATGCTCAACGAGGTCATCTTCGCCAGAGATGACATAGCATGGTGTGAAGCATAAATGTACGTTGAATTCCCACTACAATATGAAATTCTAACTGTATGATTGTATTATGACAAGATTATGACATAGCTTTAGGCTAGCTTATAGACAATGGATGTGGAGTAATTTATTTTCTTTTGGCTCGCCTGCGATTGAATCCTTTATTTGTGTATTGTATTTTTTCCGTGAGTAATGAGAGAGCTTTATTAATCAATCATGATGTACCTGCAATCATCTGAAAGAAGCTAAAAGTTGTATGTCACCGTAGCCAACCGCCAAACCCTCTAGGGAATGTTCCTAGTAGCTAAAGAAGCTCGTGACCTACCTTGCTGCACTCCCTTCATACCTTCAAAGTTGATAATCAAGAATAAGCCATAAAAAGGCAGCCATCATTTCTCTAAAGAAGTGCTTGAACAATCGGTCAGCAACCTTTTATTGCAATACAACTACAATAGACGCAATCTAATTCCACTGCAAGGGTGAGACAGGAACGTCTAGCACTATCATGGACAAAGAAAGGAGTGTGTGGGATGTTATTTCGAAGGCCAAAGTTTTGCAAAAAATAAGAAATTTTGCTTGGCGAGCTGCGTCCAACAGTTTGGCGACCCAGGTAAACAAAGTTACTCACCACCAAACGGTGTCAGGCATGTGCACTATATGTGGATGGAGGATGAAAGTATTTTCCATGCCCCAGTGTCTTGTCCAAAGGCGCATGCTTTCCGTTTCGCCATGAAAGAAGTGTGGAATGTTCTTGGTAAGGAGCTTTTCAGATTTACGGGGCCGGACCGGATATTTATTCCGCTTGATCAACTGGGGTCGTCGGAACGCGATCGGGTCTTACTCATGCTTTGGATAGCCTGACATCTGAGGAATGATATGACCTTCGGAAAGGGGGGGGGAGTCTTTATCTGCCTCTGTCACTTTTGTGGGAAATTACTGGAAATCCTTCACTAAAGCAAAATCCTATGCGTAAATTGATTTAAGCATCAAAGGTAATGGGGTGATAGATAACTTGAGGTACGTTGCCCAATCGCGAGTGGTCGTCATGATTGGGAGCCCAGGGATCAAGGGTATATTAAGACAAATGTTGATGCTAGTTTCGTGGAGAGCATGAGATCTGCTGGTGTCGGGATTATTGCCAAGAATCACCTTGGCAAAGTCTTGGTTTCTTCATGGGATTTTATCTAGTCGTGCACATGTGTGGATGAAGCGGAACTTCGTGCGGCTCTCGTCAGGTTATACATTGGTATTACTCTTCACAAACTAGTTATTTTGGAAACTGATTGCGCGTATGTTGCATCTTTCCTAGCAAAAGAATACATTGACAGGTCTCCTCTTTGAAAGGATCGAGAAGAGGTGTCTAGAGGGGGGGTGATTAGACCCTCAACAAGTAAAGGTGGCAGTTTTTAAGTTTTTCAAGTTAAGGTTGGAGATTATCACAACTTCAAGCATTCATGATACATTTCAAGCAAGCGTGGCAAGAGTATATGAGCAGCGGAAAGTAAAGCATGCAACTTGCAAGAAAGTAAGGGGATGGGATTGGAGTGTGCAAACGCAATTGGAGACATGGAGATTTTTGGCGTGGTTCCGATAGGTGGTGCTATCGTACATCCACGTTGGTGGAGACTTCAACCCACGAAGGGTAACAGTTGCATGAGTCCATGGAGGGCTCCACCCATGAAGGGTCCCCGAAGAAGCAACCTTGTCTATCCCACCATGGCCATCGCCCAACGAAGGACTTGCCTCACTTGGGTAGATCTTCACGAAGTAGGTGATCTCCTTGCCCTTACAAACTCCTTGGTTCAACTCCACAATCTTGATGGAGGCTCCCAAGTGACACCTAACCAATCTAGGAGACACCACTATCCAAAAGGTAATAGATGGTGTGTTGATGATGAACTCCTTGCTCATGTGCTTCAAATGATAGTCTCCACAACACTCAATTCTCTCTCGCAGATTTGGATATGGTGGAAAGATGATTTGAGTGGAAAGCAACTTGGGAAAGGCTAGAGATCAAGATTCTTGTGGTTGGATTGGAATGTCTTGGTCTCAACACATGAGCAGGTGGTTCTCTC